GTATAGAATACGTGTTATCTGGCATATAGTAGCAGCAATGAGCTTAGGATATTGGTAGAAATTTGATTTGGAAATTGGGTTTGGATTTGGGAATTTGGAAATATTTGAAAAGTTTGATATTTAAAATAGAAAATTTCACCACCTAGCACTTAAAGCGGATGGTGGGGGAATGGATGATGGGCTCGATCAAGATCCCATGGTTTCGTCATCCCGGGCCATCGTGGTCCCTGGTCTACTTAGTCAGAGGAGGTAGTCGACCCAACCTGACAGAAGGATCCTTGTCGGCAGCCATGGGTTGCTTCATCCAAGGGCACCTTGTTGACCTGGGATGGGTATTTGCCTAAGGGGACAAATTTAAATGCACCTTAGCTAACAGAGGGCTTTGTGCCCTATCAATCATATCATATTGATTCATATATCAAGGATTTGATGCCAATAAGGAACGTAACGGCGCTGGCCATAACCGGTATTTCGTGGTGCCATTTGGAGGCAAAACCACTCGTTTACCTGCAGTGCCATTTGGCGGCGAAACTGCCGGTTAGAGGACACGTACCACGTCCTTACTGGCAGGAGATTGTTTGAGAATGGATCCTAGTGATATTTTCGTCTAGGCATTTGACTTTTTGTGAGCTGAAGTAATTTTTAAATTTGTCTACCTCAACAAACTATTGCGGAGGGTGGATGGATTTTGCTTTGAGTGGTTGATAGATTGATTTCAAATTTTAAATATTTTTGGGATTTTGAGATTTTTGACATTTTTTTGGAATTTGGACTTTCTAGAGCTTTAGATGGCATTGAAAATTATTTGTGAACCCCTCCGGTTGAGATAAGAAACCAACACGGCCATCATCGGGGTGTTCGGGGTGATTTCTCTTTTGTTGATTGAATCTTGTCAACTCTATCGAATTATTGATAGATGATCGAAGGCTTAATATGAATGTATTAAGACAAATATGACGGTCGCCATAACCGTATATTTGTTTGTTGGTTCGAACCCTGTCAACTTCTATTGACCCGTATAAAAGGATCGGTTTCGAACCTGAATTCACTTGTCAACCCGCGTAGCATCCCTAGACGTCACGTGTGTACCAATAACACGCTCGCCAGGGCCCATGCGGTTGTTTGGGGTCATTTTATATTTAAACCATGTCGACTCCTTTTATCCTGCTAAGGAGGATCGGGCTTAAAATTTGATAACCCGCGCAGCATCCCTAGACGTCACGTGTGTACCAATAACACGCTCGCCGGGGCCTTGCGAGTTTTGATTGTATAACCCTTTTAGTGTACCTATGTGTATACAAGCTACAGTGCATGTGCGGGGGTATTAAAATATTTGTAATTGTGCAGGTAATTGTAATTTGGATGCACACAACATTTCATTTAAGAGCTTATACACGCCTTCTGTCCGCTAATACGAGCGTTGCGGATCCGATGGCGTGGTGTAGCAGCTTCTGAGTTTAGTTGTTCGCTGCTTCGTACAGGTAGACTGTCGTGCACTACTCATCACTTTCTGCAGGTGGATCGTAGTACACTAATTAATCTCCTGCCTTGGGTCGTAGGAGCTTGTACTTGTCGTATTTTTCATGCATTCTGTTGTGGTCTTTAGTCTTTTCAGTGCATCCACTATTGTTGCATGTAGGTAGGTAGATGTCTTCTTTCACAGACTGAAATTGACTTCAGGATACTGCATTTATTGAAGTCTTTTGCATCTATCCCTGGGTGGCATGTTATATATACATCTGTATTCGTTGAGAGATTGTATGTATTGCAGATCTTTTTATCCTTGATTGCATGAAAGTCAATTTATATGTTTGAATTTCGATGTTGACTACGAGGATGCTAGAATACCCTTGATACAAGAGTTTGCGGGTGCTTGTATCTGTTGTATGTCAATCGTTGCATCGACTAATAGTTTTCTTCATTAGGGCTTCTAATCTTCAGCATACGAGTTCATTGGTCGATTAATATGAACACCGCAGATTTCATGTTGGCTATACGTAAATCAAGGGTCTTGTAGTACATTTATTCTTCTCATTTGAAATACTGTTGTATGCTCATTTATGTATTAGTCTGAATTGATAATCAAAGAATCTGCTTCTTCTACATCTCCCTTGCTTTGCTTATGAACCACTCCTTCACTATTGTATTTCTCCATGCTTATCTACTTTGAAAATATGTCGCTTGTGTGAGAAATATGTTGAATCTCATAAGCTTCTCATTGCCCTTGGAAGTAATTAGCTTGCATTTTGATTGGTACAAGAGCTTTTCAACATTTATTTGGGAACTCCATTTTTTTTATTAGCACCTTGATTGGAATGCTACCACATTTGTCGTACATCTTCTACTAGTATGTCAAATGGGTTTGTAGAGAATTTCTTTGTAGAACATAAGAGGCAATTATTATCACTTACAATTTGGTGGATTGAAAGTCATAAGATAATCTTATGTTTATTACATTTGATTATTTACTTTGATATATCCTCTTGGAGTTTGATCATTGTATTCAAGTTATACCCATTACAACTCCTCCAAGCATATTCTGTTAGCAAATCAGCCTCCCATTTGCATGTTTATTAGTGTCTTCATTCAAATTGAGACGATTATCCTTCATTCGCCATTGATTGAAAACATGTCATGTTGAAAGTTTGCGACTAATCCACTTGATCACTAACTTGCATTTGATTGCATGATTCTTCATTATGATTTGTGAGTGAGGCTCTTCATTCGTTACAAGTCTTGTATGTACTTTCTTGCACTTGATTTGGGCATATTAACTCAATAATCATGATCTCACTTTAAATATCATGTCATGTATCACATTTTTAGTTTGATGTGATTTAAGTTCCATGTAACTCAATTCAAGCTTGAGTCCCTCATTGTCCATGATTGATTCAAGTTTAAGTTCTATATCTCCTTTACTTGGTTCAAACCAAGCTCTCTTGCAAACATGATTCAAGTTCTATTCTATGTATGTGCTTCAAGTCCTCCGTTGACTGTTGTTCTGAGTTCAATCAAGTCCAGGTACGAGTTCAAATTGAGTTTATGTCCATAATACTTAATTCATTTGAGTTCTTTTATGTGCTTCATTCAAGTTCAAGCAAACTTCTTCGTAGTCTAAGCGAATTCAAGCCTTGTGTAGTTCAAAGTTGACCCAAGTTGTTATGATTTGACTAAGCTCATATTCTTTTAGATTTGAATTTATTTAAATTGATTATGTCAAGCTCACAAGTCCGAGTCCACTGTTCTTTTGAGTTCAAATCAGGTCCAGGTACAACATTGCATTCACCCGATATTTCGGCAGCCTTCCGGCGTCTCCCCCGTTTAGGAGAAAACTACGGAAAACTGGGCCTTTCCCACCACGCTAAGAAAAGCGTGTATGGTAGGTGCCCTCTTTCGAGGACACCGCGGCCGTGTATTTTTTGATCCCCCACCATGCTAAGAAAAGCGTGTATGGGTATTTTTGAAAATATTTTTACGAGAAAAGCAGTTATTTCCCCGCAAGCGAATACTTATGGGTATCCCCGCTTCGTCGTACGCATCGCACCGGGCTTCTTTCCCACCACACTAAGAAAAGTGTGTATAGGCGGGGTTTCCAAGGCGATACAAACTTCGAAGAAGGGATTTAGGTGATTACCCGCTTCGTCGCAAGCGTCGCGACGCACTCCCTCCCATCACGCTAATAAAAACGTGTATAGGTGGTCGTTTTGTCTCGACAAATGCGTTGAAACAGGTTCTTGGAGTTTTAGGGTTTAAAAGTTATACCTGCGCGGGGTCGGCATGGATCGGGGGAGAAAAAGGTAAGAGAGGTATTTTTCTTCTTTTCTTATAATTAGTTATAATTATAATCAATTATGATTAAAAATAATTAATTAGAATTAGTTTTAATTAGGTATAATTAATATATGATTAATAAATAATTATTATAATTAAAAAAGCTAATCATAATTAAACTTAGTTAATTATGATTAAAATTGTTTTAATTATAAATAATTAAAATTAAACATAATTAATTATAACTAATTTATAATTAAAAATAGTTAATTAATATTAAATCTAATCAATTATAATTAATTAACAGGTTTTAAGCATGATTAGGACATGATTAGTAGGATTCAAGTAGGATTTAATCAACTGCTCAATCCTACAGTGAGTTAAATCCTACCCTTCTCTTCTCTGTTTGGCTGCTTAACTGGACTTGGCCGAAGGAGCACGCGAACAAAAGAAAGTTACCTTCACTATAAACGAGCTCCCGTTCTTGTGTCCTGATCAAAATGTCGTGACTCCCGAACCCGTGAGGAAAGGGAGTGTCGTCGAAGGGGATGAAGGAGGCGGAGAAGGGCTCGGAGAGGGCAGTCGGCGTGAGGTAGGGGAGCTTCGGCTCTTTTTCTCTCTCTCTCGACTGAAGGAGATCGGGAGGTTGGATGTCGGGCAGAGGGAGTTCGGCCGGAGCAGAGGTTTCGTATGGAGAGAGCGTCGAAAGGAACCGAGAGCTTCTACTTCGTTTGCTCGATATTTAAAGGCGCGAATGGGAGTGGGATCGAGGTTATCGTCGCAGGATTCGCGCAGGATTTGTGCGTGGAGACGCAAATCAGCTCTGCCAGCACTGAACGGCTGACATTTCAGCGGGTTTTGAGCAGGATTTCTGGATCCAACGGAGCAGAGGTATGATTTGGTATTATACATTGGTAAACAATAAATTTTCAAGGTTTATGAACTTTGCTGCTGGGTGACATTTTATCTGAGGAAAAGTACAAATTTATTTCTTTTTTATTTACTAGAGGACTTGATAAAAAGAAACAAATGGGTCAAATAGTGGTTAGAGTCGGAATGCAAAATCAAATACCTTTTTTTTCACCTAGTGTCATGTTTTACTTATTCCATACAATCATATCCCTGCTGGTCCTAGATTTACTGTTAGCACCAAAACATGATGCTTGAATTATTCTCTTTCCAATTATAATGCATTCATTAATTGACAAAACTTCCTCTAATATTTCAAGGTGTCAGAGCATTCTAGCTGGTCGGGTTGTTTTTATTTTAGGATCGTTCAAGCTGCTCTATTAGCTGTAGGAGCTCCAGATAATTTGGTTCATGTAATTACTGGGTATGTGGAGTTTTGATTTTTATCAATCATTACTTGAAACGATTTAGTTATATATTAATGGAGGTTTCTTTCCATGGCAGGTTTGCAGAAACTGGTCAAGCCCTTGTATCTTCGGTTGACAAAATCATTTTTGTTGGATCACCTGGTGTGGGTAGGATGGTATATATTTTCTTTGAATGCATCTTAAGCCAGAATTTTTTTGTTTGTAGTGTTCTGTAATAGTTCAAGTATTGTAGAAGTAATGTGTTTTCTGAACATCCTGTCAATATCGAAAATACCTCTCTATTACTTTTTTTTTTTTTAGAAATGATGCTTTATTTATCGGTCTATTTAATACTGTCTTTATATAATATGTATCAAATCAATACTATAGCTTGTTAATTGAGTCAGGATCACTTACGGGCATGCCCCGTGCAGTAGGTTTCTGTTAATTGAGTCAGGATCACTTACGAGCATGCCCCGTGCAGTAGGTTTCTGTTAGGCAGGGTTTGGGACGAGGTAACTTAATCACTACTCGAAACCTGCCCAGTCAGGATCATTAACAAATAAACCTTCTACTACAAGGTCTCGTTTTATATAGCCACTCTTCTTGGTTTTTCTAAAGTGGGAAGGAAACATGAAGACTACAATTCTAGTCTGCCGACTCCTATTCATAAACTTCTTTACAAGATGCTCATTTTGGTACTTCTAACTCTAGGAAAATTTTGCTTGACAATATGAAATCAGAGAATAACATGAAATTTTTTTGAAATTTTTTCAAATCATGGCATTTGAAGCATTTAACTGTTATGCTTCTTTAGCATTGATGTCAATTTTCTTATGTTACTATTTTCATTGCTACACTTTAAGTAATTGTAGTTGATCATGCGAATATATCTTCAATGATACTGTTTTGCAAATAACTGTAACATCCTGTTTCAGATCATGCAAAGGGCTTCAGAGACATTGATTCCAGTTACCCTTGAGCTTGGTGGTAAGGATGCATTTATCGTATGTGAAGATGTTGACGTGCCTCATGTATGGAATTCTCTTTTCAAAATCTAATATCGGGGTCATGCGTTTATCTTCCATTCACGGCAAAACAAGGCATTCTTCCATGCCATTGTGATATGTTGGTTTTGTAACTACTTCCTTTCTAGGTTGTCCAAATTGCAGTAAGAGGTGCACTCCAGTCCAGTGGCCAAAACTGTGCTGGTGCTGAGAGGTTTTATGTTCACCGTGACATATATCCAACTATTGTTGCTCAGATCGTGAAGCTTGTAAAATCTGTTACTGCTGTAAGTTCATTCTATTATCATTTATATTAAACTTTTTGGAAAAAGTTTGAACTCTATTTTGTGATATGACATTCCTGCTATTCATAAGTACCATTTTGCGAAGGAATATGATTGGGTACTGCAAGAACTAATTTGGTGCGGGTTAAGAAAAAGTTGTGCATTGAAGGTATATTGAAATTAATAAGGATATGTATGATAGAGTATTGCTTAACATTAGAGTTAGCTGTGAAATTAAGGGCTATAGATGAATCTTGATGAGCTTTGTACTTCATTTTTCATGCTCGTTCATTTATTTATTTATTTAGCTCAAGCCGAGCTTAAACATCCCTAACTCTAAATATTGTTCAAAATTATTTGTTAATTATCTTATCAAGTTCAAGCTGTAATCGAGAGTAACTATATCTAGGATGTTAATCATTTTAATAATAGTGTTATTATTAACTATAAATTTATTCATAAATTTTTATCCGGAGTGAAAATAATCAACTAAACATTAATTTTAATTTTTAAATAATAAAATTAGAATTTTATTCCATCTATCAGGATATTAATTCCATATTTTCATGATCAAATGCCAATTAAAAAATTTGGATTTTCTCTTTCTCCATCTAGTATTTATTTAATATTTTAATTATCAAGTGTAAAAAACATATTAGACTTTTAATCTGTCAATCTTCTTTGCCCAATATTGTCATCATTTTATACCTCTAGTATCATAAATAACTAATATAGTCCATACAATATAAGAAAATAGATATAATAACGTAGAAACAAATTATTAACAACAACATCAAAGCTTTATCCCACTACATGGGGTCGCCAACATGAATCATGTTAAGAGTCAAATTTCTCATTCAAATCTAATAAACAAAGGTTATTTTTAATAATTTCTAACCAAGTCTTTTTAGGTCTACTCTTACCTTTCTTATATTTGCCAAATCTAATACATCTACTCTCATAACCAGGTTATCGGAAGGCTGATGTTTTATGTAACCAATCCATCTAAGGTGACACTTTCTAATCTAATCTTCCATTGGAGCTACTCTAAGCTTTTCACGTATATACCCGTTTCACATTTTGTCTATGTGTAAAGACTCTCATCCACCTAAGCATCCTTATCTCTGCAACACATAACTTAATTTTGTGCTTCTCTTTTAATGGCCAAAATTCTGTGCAATAAAGCATTTTAGGTCTCACCATCATCTCATAGAATTTTTCCTTGAGGTTGAGGGGTGCTTTTCTATCACACAACAAGCCAGTTGCATTCCTCCACTTCAACCATTCAACTTGAATTCTATTAATAATATTTTCATCTATTTCACCATAACTTTGAAAAATAGATCTGAGATATCTAATACATGTACTCTTTTTATTGACTTGATTGCCCCCTCCACAGTACCCCCATGAGATTTATGACCACTAAAATTATACTCTATATTCAGTTTTAGATCTACTCAAACATAAACTTTTAGACTCTAAGATTAACCTCCATAATTCAAGTTTTCCTTTAAGTCCCTCTCTAGTTTTATCAATAAGAAGAATATCATCAACAAAAAACATAAACCAGGGTATATCCTCTTGCTCCACTCATCTAGCATCTTCTTAATCTTCAAAATAATATTAAAAAAATCCTTAAGCCCAGAAATTCCTTTATCTTCTATACATTTTCACACCTTTATTGGAATATCATCAGGTCCAATGGATTTTCCACACATTATTATTCTTAAAGTCTCTCTCGCTTTGATTTTATTAATACGATGACAAAATAAAAATATCTATTTTCATTTAGGATACTAAGGTCGCTAAAGCTAATTGTATTCTCGCAATTTTCATTGAAAAGTTTATCAAAATATCTCATCCACCTATATTGAATATCATTTTCTAATAAAAATATTTTTTAATTTTCATCCTTAATGCATTTCACTTGAACTAAATCCTTATCCTATCTCTTTATTTTGCTAACTTATATGTACATAACTCCTAAATAACTCCCCCCCCTTATTAATTGTGTTTATGCTATTTAGGAACTGTTTAATTGTTTAGGAATATTTCCTAAAATATATTAAATTGTTTAGGAATGTTTCATAAATCATGTTTTAATTGTTTAGGAAGGTTTCTGAAATCATATTTAATTATTTAGGAAACTTTACTAAATTATGTTTATGTTGATTAGGAATGTTCTATTTATTTAGAAAGGTTTCCAAAATTATATTTATGCTTATTAGGAAGGTTCTAATTGGGTTATGGTGTTCTAAGGGCGTTTTAAGGGGGAGTTTGTTTATGGCTTAGAGCGGATATTGCTGAGTTTATTTTTCCTAGTATTTGTTGTGAGTTCCTAGCAGCATCTAGGATTTGTGGGAGAGTTGATCTACCTCTTGAATAGTAGATCAATTTTATCTTTCATTATTTGTTGATGAGAAATAAGAAAATCAGTCATTTTTGTGTTTTTACATTATTCTTCTCTTTTATTTGTTGATTTTATTTCCAAGGTGCCTCACCAACCCACGTAGTGGGATAAAGGCTTAATGTTGTATTGCTTGCATTATCATTTTTTTTGGCCACATGCACAATTCAATAACTTAGCATGATGGTAGAGTAGTAACTAAGTTAAAAATGCATGTATATTGTGGGCTTGAGGTCGTGCGATGAAACGACGCGATGTATGGCCTCGTCGTGCGAAGGGCGGCGACGTCGTGCGAGTGCAGAGAGCGGGTACGATTTTTTTTATTTGATTTTTTTTATTTCCAATTACGGGTCAACATATATGGTTCAAAGCCTGATAGTTTCCTTATGTTGGTTCAAAGGATGACCCTGTGACTCTTTCACAATCTTATCCATCTTGCCATAAGTCTTTTACATTCATTATTCACACGATCTCTATTAGTATTATATTCCCAATCTTCTGTGCATTGCTACATCCATGATCATGTTTTGTTGTCACACATTCTTGTGGCCTCTCGTCATGCAATCCTAATTGTGATTCTTACATGATTCCTACCTTCCGCTAATTGTTAGTTGTAGGATCCTATCAATATGGATGAGGCCGAGTTGCAGTTCTTGCTATAAAATCAGATTTCAACGTCTCTTATCTTTGAATCGAGCTAGCCTGTTTTGTTGATTTTCTTATTATAAATTTGAGCAGACTTTGATTGAAAATTGGATATGATAAGCATGAAATTATACTTGCATTTATATTCTATTTAATTCTCTTTTAGTTTCTACATTGATCAAGTATTGACTGGTTGTGATTTTGTAGTTTGGTGCCATTGAAAATTACATGTTTTGGGAGAAAAAGATTTCCTTATGTCGGCGTGAGACCTAGATTGTTATTTGGTATTTTTTTCCCTTTGAATTATTTCTATTCTTAAATTTAAGTGTTGATATGATTGTATGATTGATTATTTTCTTACTTGGTATGATCGCGCTTTTTCGATTGTGATATAAATTTTTTATTGAACATGCGATTCCTTCATGATCTCGAGTTTTTTTATGAAATTTATATTAGTTCAATGTTAAATAAACATTTGCACAGATTCGCAATTGTTCATCTAAAATGGTAAATAGTTGCCTAAATTAGATGTTTGTGACTATAAATTTGAATTTTTGTGCATATAAGACGCCATGCATCAGAATTCATAAAAGGAAACTGAAACTGTGCATATAAACTTCATTTAATGAATTTGAACAAAGGAAACTAATGCTATATTTAAAATGTTGTTATGATATACATTTAGGTGCTGAAGTAACTTTGAAATGAGGTTGTCCTAAAGGATTATGAGTGTCGATACTGTCTTTACAAATGTGGTAAAAAATGCTCATTAAATTCATGGGAGATGAAGTGCAGCTACTAGCGCATTGATGTATCTTTTGTTTTTGAATCGTGCATTCCCTTTGTGCTATATTATTTTAAGTTTTTTGTTATGGCCATGTTCAAGCCCAATTTTCAGGTAACCTCGTGCAAGGCACCCTCAGTCAAAATATGCCCACTGAAAGTTTACAGTCAATGTTGTAAAACTAACTCTATTGGTAGTGCCACTGAGGATAGAAAACGGAATACGGTGGCATGAAATTTGGACAAAATTTTGGGAGGTAATTTGGACAAACATATCTTCATTTATGGGGATAACAAGAATAGCAAATAGATTCAATAAATCAAGCTTTCAGTGGCTTTTCTTGAATTATAACTTAGTTTACCCAAGAGTGGAAAGAACATAGGCAGTGAGGAACACCGAACAAGCATACAATAATCTTTAGAGGACGATCATCCCGTATTCTATCTTATTTTCTACGGAAGGAAACCCACTCACATGCTCCTGCAATCACTGTTTCCCTTCCCATCAACCTCTCCTTTGTTAGGAAAAAAAGCCTAAGTTAAAGACATCTTTAGTGATTTGCATTTTTATATCCCTGCCTCTTCCTGATTGTTGCCTTTATTCAACTAGATAATAAATTTTACCATCACTGCCTGCAGCTGCAAATGGTTATCTTTCATTGAACGCAGGGAATGCTATTAATTTGTCTTGTAACTTGCTTGGGGATCAAGTGCAGTATTATTAATTTTAAGCTCATGAGATTACATTCTATTTATTTATAGTTTAATGTGAATTACGAAGAATGCAAAATCTCCTACAATTTTTGTGTGCTAATCTTTCCTTTGTGGAGCTGGTATTGTTGTTTAAAAACCCACCTGTTTTTCTATGATTTGCTGCATTTATTTTTCAAACAGGGGTCCATCCTTTATTCTGTATGGTATGGTGTGCCGCACACTCAGGGGCCTCAGATTGGGAAGGTTTCATTTTAGTTTATTTGTTATATAGATTGAGCCTTCGCAGCATTTCAGATATAGATTATAAATGCTTATTAATTACAATGCTTTCCTGATGAGTTAGTTTAGTGCCCTTTTATTTACATGCAGTGTTTTTTGCAGTATTGTATTCTTATTGAATGTTATGGACATCATCTATGTAGGGCCCTCCATTGTCTGGCAAGTATGATATGGGTGCCATATGTATGCAAGAGCATGCTGACAAGCTTCAAAATCTTGTCAATGATGCCTTGGAGAAAGGTGCTGAAATTGTAGGCCGAGGAAGCTTTGGTAACCTCGGGGAAGATGCGGTGGATCAGTTTTTTCCCCCAACTGTCATAGTGAACGTTAACCACTCAATGAAATTAATGCAAGAAGAGGTAAATGTGGAGCCTGAACATTTGTTTACTTGCTATTTACTAGTGTGATATGAGCAGATGCTTACTGGACAAACCTGATTGTTCTGCAGACTTTTGGACCTATAATACCTATTATGAAGTTTGATACAGACGAAGAAGTTATTAAGCTTGCAAATGACTCAAACTATGGCCTTGGCTGTGCTGTATTTTCTGGCAACCAAAAACGTGCTATTGCTATAGCTTCTCGGATACACTGTGGAGTTGCTGCAGTTAATGATTTCGCATCCACTTACATGTGTCAGGTGATTACAAATTTCTAATATTTGCATTCTTCATAATTCACATTTGCGATATTGGGAACAATAACATCAAGCCTTTATCCCACTACGTGGGGTCGGCTACATGAATCCTTTTTCTCCATTGTGTCCGGTTAAGAGTCAAATTCTCATTTAAATCTAATAAAGAAGTTTTATTTCTAATTTTATCTAACCAAGTCTTTTTAGGTCTACCTCTACCTTTCTTAACATAAGTTAAATCTAATACATCTACTCTTCTAACCAAGTCATCAGAAGGCCGCCATTTTATGTCACCAAACCATCTAAGGCGTCTCTCTCTAATCTTATCTACCACTGGAGCTACTCCAACCTTACGTATATGCTCATTTCGTATCCTGTCTCTAAGAGTAAAGCCACTCATCCACCTAAGCATTGCGGGGGGGGGGGGGGGGGGGGGGGGGGGGGGGGGTGGTTCAAAATAAGTTGAGTTGAAGTTTTTGTAAGCTTCTACTTAAATTCTGCTCATTAATGGTTCTCTACTTAAGTTCAACTCATTATATTGTTTAGTTAGCTTTTTAGCTCATTAAAGTTGAGCATAGGTTCTTCCCCCTTTGGTTTCCTATTCCTTTCCCCCTTCTTTGTGTCTCCTCAGTTTCTTCCTGGTGTTGTTTCCCGTGGCTGGCTCCTTCTCCCTTGCCGGGTGCTTGTTCCGATCCCCTTTGTGCCACTTCAATTTCTCCTTTGATGCTTATCCCGTGGCTGCTTTGCTCGGTTCTCTGTGTTGCCTTTTTTGGTGTTGTTCCGCCTCCCCTGGCTGATGTTCCGTGGCTGCTTTTTCCTTGGTTTTTGAGTGGTTGTTTGGGAGCTGTTTTGGAATGAATGCAGGGTTGTTTGGATGCTGTTTTGGACTGACTTTTGGCCTTCCTTATTCTCTTGTTTTATGGGTTTAATTGGATGGTATTTTGGGATGTTTTGCTGTCCCTTTTCTCCTATAAATATTAGGTGTTTTGACAAAGAAAAAAAGAATGTTATGATGGAATTTTTGGAGTAAAAAACCTGAGGATTTTTCTTCCTTCTTTGGAAAAGCTTGCGAGCTTGTTTCGTGCTTCTCTTCTTCTCTAGGAAAGCTTGCGAGTTTGTCCTCCTTCGTTTCGGATTTCTTATCTCCTTTACCCCGCAAGTGTCCACCCCACCTGTATCTTTCGTCTCAAGCAAGGAAGAGCTCCTTTAGGTGTTGTTTGTGTTTGTGTTTGTAAGTGTCAAAAGTTGTAAGTGTGTTTCTATTATAAAAGTAAAGTTGTATTTTGTTTTTAATATCTTATTTTATCTATTTTTGAGAATTTGGTGTATTTTCTATAATCCTAGGAAGTGTTTCTTTTTGCTTGCAAAGATTGGAGGCTTTTTCTAAATTTTTGCCTGCATCAAGCATCCTCATCCCTGCAACACTTAACTTAATATTATGCTTCTTTTTTAATGACCAACATTCTGCACCATAAAGCATTGCAATTCTAACCACCATCATTAGAATTTTTCCTTAAGTTTGAGTGGTACTTTTCTATCACATAAGCTCAATGCATTCCTCCACTTCATCCATCCAACTTGAATTCTACTAATAGTATCCCCATTTATTGCAACTTAAAACGTGTACTTTTATTAATAATTTGATCGCTCAAAGTCACAAACCTTTCACTAGATATATTACTACTAAAATTACACTCCATGTATTTGATTTTAGATCAACTCAAACGAAAACCTTTAGACTATAAGGTTGATCTCCATAATTCAAGTTTCCCTTCAACTCCATCTTTAATCTTATCAATAAGAAGAATATTGTCAGCCAAAGGCATACACCAGGGAACATCCTCTTACAAATCTCTAGTAAGAGCATCCATGACTAAAGCAAAAAGATATGGGCTTAAGGTTGATCCTTGATGTAATCCAGCTGAAATTGGAAAATACTTGGTCAAACCACCTTGTGTTTGAACACAAGTAACAACTCCAGTATACATATCCCGAATGACTTGAATATAAGCATTATTAATCCCTTTCTTTTTTAGAACTCTGCATAGCATTTCTCTTGGAACATTATCATATGCTTTGTCAAAATCAATAAATATCATATGAAGATCTTCATTTCTGTCTCTATACTTCTCCATCAAAACTCTCAATAAATATATGGCTTCCATAGTAAACCTACCCGGCATGAATTCAAATTGATTTTGAGAAACATTAATATTACGTCGTAACCTATGCTCCATAACTCTCCCATAGTTTGAAAGTATGACACATCAACTTAATTCCTCTATCATTTACACAATATTGTGCATCACCTTTATTCTTATGTTGACCTCTGAACAATAACCAAAGAAAGTAAAAGAAAAATAGGGCAACGTAGAAATCCTATAGCACATACCTGACGGATCCTAGAATCCTGCCGAAATCCTCCGCAAAACCATGCCAAAATCCCGCCGATTCGGCGCCGTTCGCGTCGCTTTCCCGCAAATCCCGCAACGACGGCCTCGATCGCTGGTTTTTGACGCCTTTAAAAGCCAACCGAGAGGAACTCCTTCGCTGCTCTTCCACGCTCGACCCCAGCTCCCGTAACTCTACTCACGAACTCCTCCCACACGAACATCTCCCTATCTGACTTGCTCCGATCTCCTCCCGACTCCAAGCCACAGTCGAATCCCAATTCACTACGCTGCCTGCTCTCCAACTCCACTACCACTTCCGATCCAACTCCACTACCGAAGCTCTCCACGCGAAATCCCTCAGTCATCCCGCGACCTCCTTCCTCTCCCACTGCCGAGCTCCGCCTCTTGCCCGATCTCCTCTGGCCAAGAGAGAGAGAGAGAGAGAGGAGTGAGTGAGAGAACCTACCTGCACTCTTTCACAGCCGAATCCATTGAAGCCAACGGACCCCCTGTTCGACCGAACTCTTCACATAGAGAGAGAGAGAGAGAGAGAAGCCGAGAGAGGAAGACTTACATAGCCGAAGCCCCTTCTTGAAGTTCCGATCTCCATCGCCGAACTCCTCCCTCGCTCCGTCCGACTCCATCTCCCTCCTTCCTGTTCCGATCGGAAGTTCACATTTTGATCGGGAGCAACACAGGGAGGTCACTAGTTGTGAAGGTAACTTTCCCTTTCACACGCTTGTTCGGCCAAATCCCGTGAAGAGGCCGAACCAGAGAGATAAAGGGAGGAAAGGATTAAGTTTTTTTTAATTATAATTAATGAGATAATTATTTTTAAATTATAATTAATTATAATTAAATATTGTTAGTTATTATTAATTATATTTAACTATTAATTATCATTATTAATTATTAATTATAATTAGATATAACTAATTATAATTAATTATAATTAATAGATTAATTATAATAAAATAGTTAAGTGTTATTAATTTTAATTCATTATTTAATTATTATTTAATCATAATTATTATAATTAAATAATATTAATTATAATTAAATGTAATTAATGAATTAGTTATAATTAGATGATTAATTAATTGTCATTAATGCTCACTCCCCTCTACTCTATTTCCTCGACGTTCGCGTCGGACCGGCAAACCACCTAAGCACGCCTTTGGTGCGCGTGGTAGGAGGGAACCCGGTGCGACACCTACGACGAGGGAGGCAAGTGACCCCTCGATCCACGTGTCAACCCCGGCAACCCCGCGAAGGTACGTACTCTTCTAAACTCAAAACCTTACCTCAATGTTCGTGGCGAACCGGAAAACCGCCCCAAGCACGCCTTTGGTGCGCGTGGTGGGATGGGACCCCGGTGCGGCACCTACGGCGAGGCGGGGTCGCTCATAAGTACAACCAAGCCCTTTCGCTATCACGGCCCCGACGAAGCAACCCATGGCTGCCGACAAGAATCCTTCTATCAGGTTGGGTCGACTACCTCTGACTAAGTAGACCAGGGACGACGGAACCATGGGATCTTGATCGGGTCCATCATCCATTCCCCCACCATCCGCTTTAAGTACAAGATGTTGCAATTTCCTATTTTAAATATCAAACTTTTCAAATCTTTCCAAATTTCCAAATCCAAATCTAGTTCTCCAATCTCAAATATCCAAACCCATGCTGCTACTATATGCCAGATAACACGTATCTCTATACGTATTTGATTGACGACTAGCCTTAATCGAAAGTTCTCTCTCGTGATCGGGAGGGGTAATTAACTATAGGGGCTTGTGCCTATAGGAAACCAGAACTCAGATCATAAAGTCCTCACAAAATGAGGGCGAAATCTCTGGGTAGTGTCTTATCTACAAACCCATCTGCCTTCCAAAATTTACCTCGGAACTTAGTTCGTTAAAACTCCCTCGCCGAATAAAGAAAAGCGCGAGCGGGGGCCGGGGCCGAATTTTCGGAGCCCACATCTTTAAGATAGGAATCAACACAGTCTTCTCCATGCATCTGTCATTGTTTTAGTCTTCAAAATAATAGTAAAAAGTTTAGTAAGCCAAGAAATTCCGTCATTTTCTAAGCACAAGGTTTAAAATTACGTAAATAAGCATCGAGGTGTTTTTCGTTCGTGAGGCGGCGTAAGCCTCGAGGCAGTGTGAGGTGTAAGCCTCACGGACGATGAATTGCGTAAATGAGAATTAAAGTATTATAGCAGGTAAATAACAGTAAGAGTCTATCATATAATAAAAACATCTAAATAAGAATTGAAATTAGAGAAGTGAAATTAGTGGAAAACAATAAAATAGATGCAATAAATGTATCTCATAGCATAATTCAAAGTACAAAACCACAAATATAAGTCTATCAAAACTCCCAAAGTACAAATAAGAAAGAACATATAAAATTTAATCATGTCCCACTATGTTGCACCGATACGATACGGCGACACGGATACGACAAAATAAAAATTGAAATGACAAAATATTATATTGCGACTATGCGGGGGTCTAATGAGGCACTGCCAACAAATTTTTATTGTAAGAGTTGTTTTAAAGCTTTCTCTACCTTCTCAGTAGTGGTCGATACTGCTCGGGATCGTGCCAGAGAGCTGTCGTGAGACCCTATCATGAGGCGTACGCCTCAGCCAAAATTGTGCAATAGCGCCATTGAGGCGCGCCTCAATCTCCCTGAGGCGTAAGTCTTATCAAACCCCAAAATTGCTTAGGCAATGAGGCTATTTTGGTCCGAATTGCACACAATTTAAACTATGCCTAAGCATTTCCACACCTCTATTGGAGTATCATCAGGTCCAACAGTTTTCCCACACTTCATTTTTTCTTAAAGCTTCTCTAACTTCAATTTTAATAATACGTCGATAAAAACTAAAATGTTTATTTTCATTTAAAGTATTATGATCACTAAATTCAATTGTATTTTTATAATTTTCATTGAAAAGCCTAGCAAAATATCTCATCCACCTTTGTTGAATATCCTCTTCTAAAAAAGTACCTTTTGATCTTCATCCTTAATGCATTTCACTTGAACTAAATCCTTACTACTTTTATCTCTTTGCTTGAATAGCTTATACATATATCTTTCATCATCTTTAGTATCTAATCTATCATATAAATCATTAAAAGCTAAATTTTTTGCATCGCAGAATTCTTTCTTAAACTCCTTACGAGCTACTTTGTATCTTTCCCAATTTTCAGAATTACATTTACTTCTTCTTCTTTGCACTCAAATGTGATTTATTTGTTATACTATCACTTTTATCGACATCTTTCTTTGGTTTTCATTCATTTTTGGCAAAATTTATTTCTTTAGAGTTTAGGGAATCTTGCTTTATTTTTATACATATAATTTTCAATGTCATTTGATTGAATGGAAGTGATTTATAGTGCAAGAAAATGAAAATAATATGACTTTTTATTTATGTAATATTTAGATCTCTTTTTATTAGACTTATGTTTATGTGGACGTGGTTTTGGCATGCATAATAAAAAGTATAAGAAGCTCAATAGATATGTTTATAAATTATTTTGTTTTTTTTATAGTGGCTTGATGTTTTGATCCTCTATTTTATATTCTTCTCATAAAAGATGGTCAGAAGTAAGGATAAAGCTGCATCAGGTCATAAAAAAGATCCAGCATAGAAACATAGCACTCAGGTGGATGTAGGAGGAAGTGATAAAATATATATCTATCTAAAATGCAATTATTGTGACAAAGTTATAAAGGGTGGTATGACTAGGATGAAGGATCACCTTTCAGGGTCTCACAAGAATGTTGCTTCATGCTTTAAAGTTTCTGATACTGTAAGGGAGGAGATAAAGTCATACATGAATAAGTCTATCACGTCAAAACATCTTGCACAGAAGCAATTTGAGGACAGAGTTGATGTTGGCTCTTACTATATAAGTGAGCGCAGCGTTAGGGATTCATCTTCTTCGATGAAGCCCATTTTATATAGGAGTGCTAGAGGGCCTATAAATCATTATATGGTGGACACATCAGAGGATAGACCTCCTACACAGAAGGTGGCCGTAGAAAAATGCAAGTGAGGCACGGAGAAGAGTGTGTAAGGATATAAGTAGATTCTTCTACGAAAATGTAATTCCATTTAATGTTGCAACATCACTTGCCTATTACAACATGATTCGTTTAGTTGGAGCATTTGGGAGAGGGTTCAAATCTCCAACCATGTATGATTTGAGAACATGAATTTTGAAGTTGGAAAACACTTATAAAAGTATTGAATGAATTAAGATGACTTGGGCCCAAATATGATTAACAATTATATCAGATGAGTTGTTTGATATCAAACATAGAAGTCTGATCAACATCCTCATTAATAATCCTTATGGTACAAGTTATGACAAATAATGCAAGTGCTTACAAGGCTGTAGGTAAAAAACTTATGGAGAAGAGGAAACATCTGTACTGAACTCCATGTGCTGCACATTACATAGATCTGATTCTTGAGAAGCTTGGCAAGCTACCTCAGCATAAGAATGCATTTACCAAAGCAAAAAAAAACTAAGTTTATTTACAATCACTCTTGGGTTCTAGCTCTTATGAGAAAGTTTTCAAAGAAAAAAATTTTAAGGCTAGCAGCAAAAAGCAACAAGATTTGTCACTGCTTACTTGATCTTAGAGAGCATGATGGATGCTAGACAACCTTTAGAGGTTATGTTTACATCTATACGGTGGTTGAGTTGTGATTGGGCGAAGAAGGCTGAGGAAAAGATATTAGAAAGATTGTTTTAAATGACAGATTTTGGCATATTATCTTATATGCCTTTACACTGACTAGAGCTTTGGTTTAAGTTTTAAGGATGGTGGATGCTGAGAAGAAGTCTGCAATGAGTTTTATCTATAATATCATGGATGGAACCAATAAGATGATTTCCTCTAACTTAGAAGGCGAAGAGGGAAGCTTTAGGAAAATTTGGAATATTATTGATGATAGGTGGGAGCTACAGCTTCACCGGCACTTGCATATAGCTAGTTATTATCTAAACCCTCAGTATCAATATGTAGAGAACAAGTCTACAAATCCTGAATTAAAGTTGGGATTGTATCATTGCTGAATCATCTAATAAGTGATGCAACTGAAAGATCAAATGCTAACACGTAATTGGTACCTTTAGGAACAAAGAAGGCTTTTTAAGATTATAACAAAAGCAAATGATACAATTGTAAAACGATCTCCATGTAATTTTATTTAATGTTTTAAACATTTATTTAAAAGTTTTTTTTTTCGCACTAATTAATCTCTCTTATATAAATATTAGTTGGGTGGTAAATTCAATTTGGTGATGGGACTCCAAAATTGTAGCGTTTTGCTGTGAAAGTTTTGAGTTTGACATGCTTTTCATTTGACTGTGAAAGAAATTGAAGTACCTACAACCAAATATATACAAAGAGGATACATCGCTTGTCGACATTGGGGATGAATTCACTGGTGTACATTAGGTACAATATGAGACTCAGATATAGGAATTTGAAGAAAATATGATTAATGGATGATGAAGATCCTTTGCTTTGCGAGGATGTGACATCTGATAATGAGTGGTTTGTTGATGATGAAGTTGAAGTGATGATGTCTGAATTATAAAATAAAGATTTAAATGTTGATTTCTTTGATGGTCTTCAAACATCTGCATCCACCACAACTCAAGAATAAATAAAAAAAGGTATATAAATAATATAGTTTTCTTAGACTTTTATTAATGTATTACACTATTTTTCATTTTGATATTGTTCAAAATTATTTAGGAAAGAGAAAGATAAATGATATTGAGGAAGGAACTGATAGGGGGATATTGAGAGGAAGAAGGGGAGAGAGCAGTTCATCATAATGATGATTCAAATGAAGACCCCCTTAATGATGGCAGTGCTGATGACTTATGGTTCTTATGTGATATATCATTGCTATTTATTTTTGGAATTATATGTTAATGTAAAGAATATTGTGATTTGGAAAAGATGGAGTTTGAGTTGAACTATATTTCATGTTGTCTTATTATTGGGATATTTTAATTTCACTTCATATCTTGTGTATTTTTATATTTTATATATTATTTATTCATTAGTATATACAAAATTTATCTTTTTATGTTTACGCAATCTTTTGATTTTGAGGCTTACGTCTCAAAATGCCTTGAGGCTTTACACATCGCCTCACGAACAAAAAACGCCTCAATACCCGATTTCATAATTTTAAACATTGATTCCACCACCAACTATATTTTTACTTTTATAAGCTTTTCTTTTTGATACTATAAGCACATCTTTTGCAGCATTCTTAGTATTACAAGCTATTATTTCACACATAACATTAGCTTCCTCATGCACCGACAAAATCTGAAGATCATGAATCTTACTCTCTAAGATATTTTTATTAGAGTAATTTAAATGCCACCATCTAATCCTAGAACAATGATATGCTATATTTTTTGTGCTCTGCTCATTCATCTTAAAGTTCAAAACTAATAAACGGTGTTGGGCACATAGACTCACACCGAATAACATTATAATCTATGCAATCTAAACTATCTATTTTTCTTACTAGATATTGGGTCAGCAACTATAGCTAAAATTTGTCTTACTTCACTTATATTTTATTTCAATAGTCATTGCCATTTGGTGGAGTAAAACACAGTGGATTTGGAAGATTTGCTGGAGTTGAAGGCTTGCGAGCCTGTTGCCTCGTGAAGTCCGTTGTTGAAGATAGATGGTGGCCATACATTAAAACAAAGATCCCAAAGCCTATTCAGGTTTGTCTTGTTATAACTTATCACTGAACAAAATTTAAGCGGATTGAATCAATTACGAAAATGTACTAACACCATTTCATATTTGTTCAGTATCCAATTTCAGATAATGGCTTTGAGTTCCAGGAATCTCTCGTTGAAGCTCTCTATGGTCTGAATTTGTGGGATAGGCTTCGGGCTCTGGTGGGAGTACTGAAGATGATTTCTGAGCAGAACTCTTCCTCTCAAACAGATAAAAGAAGGGAGTGAAATATAACCCAAAAAACAAATGGCTGATCAGCTTGCTATCGAGATTTTTCCAAAGGAGACCAAAAAGATGCTGCTGCTTCTTCTACAGGTTCAGGTTCATGAAACATAGAAACAAATAGCAACTGTGGGACGAGCTATTTTCTGTTCTTTTCTTTTGTGACAGCGTACCTAAGCTTTGAAGGGCCTTGCACGAGATTTAATTGCCTTTCTATTACTTTCATGTATCTGATCGGGGTGAGCTGAGGAATATTACTCGTATATATAGTTTGAAGATTTTGGTCGTTGCCTTGTTGAACAATATGAAGTTTTAAGACCGTTGCAGCAAATTTCTAATTTTCTTTTGTAGGTTGATGCTGGTCTGTTTGAAAAGTAGCTGCAAGCTGTCGATCATGACTTTTGTGAATAATCTTATTGTTGAATTCTGAATGGTTCGCGAGTCGCATCAAATTATATTAAATATTGAGTGAAAGTGAGAACAGATAAATAGGGAGAAAAAGAATGATTCTAGAGTAAAAAAAATTAAGTTTCGAATAAAATAGGCCTGAGTATAGAAAATGGCAAAAATTAAGCTCACCTCACAATCTTTTATTTATATATGTGGGTTGGGGCCTAATTGTTAAAGAATTTACCGCATATATGATTGTACACAAAATAATAGAGTATATGTTAATTGTTTAGTTTGATCAAGATGTTCAACTTAGTGAAGGCATTTGTTAGGCTATTAAAAAGTCACCCATGCATATCTTGGTAGTCGAGTAGTCATTCATTAGCTTGTCTTGAGTAATCATTGGGCCAATTTTCAATTAGTAGCTGTTAAAGCTGATTAATAAATCATATTCATCGACCAAGCTGTTAAAGCTGATTACTAAATCATATTCATCGACCAAAGTGAGTTTTATATCATGGGTGCTTGTTTGGGACAAGTTTTTTTTTTTTTTTTTTAAATTTATTTTTAGATTTGTGACTCTTTTGGTTGAGATTAGGTAGATTGAGTTGACTTGATTTAGCCTAAATCAATTTTTTTTAGATATTTGGATGTATATTTTGTTCTTTAATTTTCTTATATTTTAAAAGATTTTTTTGTGTGAAAACAATAAGAAAATGTAAAAAATATTTTTATCAATTAATAATAAATTTATTATAAATATTTTTAATGTTAATATCTATTTATTAAAGTGAAGTTAACTTTTGACATTATCCGGTGATCGGACCTATCTCCACGTTCGGACGCCAATAGAAAGCGGACATCTAGCACGATTTTTTTAATATAATTTTTTTGTTTTATGTCTTGTCAGCCCGATCAATCCGACTTAGTAACCCAGATTGTTTGAATTCAGGACTCTAAGAATGAAAACGAAGTGTTTTTACTTTTCACTCGACTTTTTCACTGCTCTATTACTCTCGGCTATCTGCTCTCGGACTCCTACAATACCTTCGGTTCTGAAATACCTTCTTCCTAGTGGTAGATGACGATGTTGGAGAACATCAGCATTTAGAAAAGGTAATGTTGCGCCTATGTTGCGCTTCAGTTACACTTTTGAGTTTAGTGTTAAATTTTAAATTTCAGGGTTTAATGTTAATTTTATACATAGCATTGTTTGTTCAATGTGAGCTTAAAATATTTATTTTCTGAATTTCAAACTTCTTAGTAAATGAAAGAAACAAATGATGCGAAATGTTTCATTGAGCCTTAGATGTGCTTTTTCTAAATTTTTTGTTTTGTTTTTCTAGATGTTGTATCAAAGGCCAGTTACTTCTCGATGCTATGTTACCACTTTTAGAAAAATTTGTGATGCTTTTGTCGAGATTATTGATGGTGAACTTGAGCAGACTTTAAGGAATTTGAACATGAATCAGTTTTTGAAGCTTTCATCATTCCAACAGTGTATTCCAATTCTTTTTGAGATTATGAAATTTTGGAATTTTGCTGATGAAGGCTTCATTATGAATGGTCATTTACTTAAATTTATTTCTGACGAGTTTGCTTTGTTGACAGGTAAGATTTTGAATAAGGAATTATGGATATGTTTTTTAACTTTAAATATAACATAGACAAAATTTTTCTAACAGGTATGCCTAATAGAAGTGTTGATATTAAATGGAGGATTGATCCTCTAACTGAACCTTTAACAACTGAAATAAAAACTGAAATGTCAAAATTAGATAGATTGACTGATAATGCTACAAAGTTAAAGACATTTATAATGTTTTTGTTATCTAATCTTTTTTCATTTAATAATCATAAAACCCCTAGAAGGCTCACATCTTTAACAAATAATATAATTAAGTTCACTTATATTAATTGGGCTTCATGTATAAGGAATTTCATGGTCGAGGAATTCGATACAATTTCTAACAAGTTTAAAAAGTAAAGACTATTGGGTTACATCAATATTTTTTCCCTCTTATACTAGTAAGTTTCTAATCGTACTGGTTGTTTTCCTCTCATAAAGCTTTTTAATGTTAATTTATAATGTTTTATGTTTGGTATTATATAGATTTGGTTTTTGGAATATTTTTTCTTGAATAAACCATCCATCCGATCTAGAATTAAGACAATATTTTTTGAGATGGGAGAGGAACACTGATTTATACTATACATAAGAAAGTGCTACCAAATTATTTAAATTTAAAAAAAAATGAGGTAATTTTTTAGTCTAAATGTTTTATATTTAGAGTTGCGCTTTAAGTGCGCTATAGTTGGGCTATAATGCACTTAAAGCGCAACTAAAGTGCAACTATAGCGCACTTAAAGCTCAATCAGATATTTCATATTTTATAAATTTTTTCTAGATTTTTCCTGTTCTTCAGGATGTTACAAGTAAAGAAGCTGAAAAATACGGGGCTGACATAAATGCTATACAAAACCTAGAAACCCGGCTTAAGGATTAACCCCACAAAATTCAATCACCACAACGGGAAAAAATTCACACCACCCCACCTCCCTCTCCTCATTCTCCTCATCAAGAATCACCTGAAAGTTCTCCTCAGCAGCCTACTCAACCTTCTTATTTAGATTGAATACTTGTTACAATAAATAATCATCATTTCGCAATAAATATTATTACAATACAAATTCATTAAATTCCAACTCCGAAGCAATGAAATATATCATCAATTTGGTGTATTCAACACCAGGTTGGCTTATTGGTTGGACGGTTATATATTCCTCACTGAAATATTGAGGCATAATTAAAAAGTTCATCTGTGTTGAAGGAGGATCATCAATTACTTTTTCCCCACCAATTGTTTCTTATATGTTATAAACTACAACTTTAGTATTAGGTAAGGAATTATATAATTAACATGTTATTAAAACTTACTCTTAGGCCGCTTCTTCTTTTCCCAATGGCTTTTCAGTCTTACATTTGATATACCTTTAGATTTAAGCTTTAGAGGATCTTTCAAATTAGCACTTCCACCTTGGGATTTTGCAACATCATTCTGATTTTTTTTTTTTTGCCACCAAGAATTAAGTATAAGTTTTGAGCTATGCCTTTCATTGAGGAAAGAATATCACTTGAGCTTCTATGCTCATTTGATATGCAAATCTGCTCACTTGATTTTTGAATATGAATCTCCTACCATTTTCAAAGTTATTGCTTCTTTGAGAATTAACCAAGTTACATGAATAAAAATCTTGACGAGCCCTTGCTGCCAACACAGTAGTAGGTACTTCTCAGAAAATTTAGCCATATCCAACTGTTTAAAATCCTCAAACAGTGAGAACACAATATCCCCATGATATCATACTTCTTACAGCTGCATTGAATGTTACCTTCTGATGTATCAAAGTCAACCACCCAAGGATGATGTTGGTCCTTTTTCTCTATGTAGTTGGCTAGAAATTTTGAAGAATCAGTCGAGATGAAGTCTATACTCATTTCTCCCACAGCTTATATAAGTTCTTCCTCAAAAAATGAATATAATTTTCTTGAGTAAAACTGAGCAGCTTGTTTTAATATTGAGCTATTCTTTATCACAGGAACAATTTCAGACTGACAGTATTTGTACTCCTCATCCTTCTCATTTCGCTGCCAATTCATTAATACCTTTTCCAACCTAAGAAAACAATCAGTTAATGAACTTGTTGGCTTCAAAATGCCATGACATACATTATAAGTACACTCGCTACGCTGTGATGATAAAATGCCAATGCTAAAACAATCCTTGTTAAGATCTGTTGACCAATTTCTCCTTATCTTATAAAGATCCTACAACTATTCATGATTATGAAGGTTCCCTTCCTTGATAATTTTAGCCCATACCTCTTCAAACACTTCCTCAGAATCACACCACCTCATACACTTATAGAAGAGTACTTTAATTTTATTATTGCTATTGCAGATAGAAACTTTTGATGGAACATTTTTAAAGATGCGCCATTGGCATAATCTATGATGAGTGTGAGGTAATGCAACTTCTATGGCCCTGGTCATAGCTTGGTCCTGATCAGTGAATATTGTTGTTGGATATTTATTACAAATTATTCGTACAAATATTTTAAATAACTATGTAAAACTTTCAATTATTTCTTTTGACAAAAAAGCAACTCCTAACAAAATATTCTGCCAATGATTGTTAATACCAACAAATGGTACACAAATAAGATTATACTTGTTGAGCCTATAGCTAGTATCAAAAATCAACACATCTCCAAAACATTCATAATCTATCATGCTTCTGCCACTACAGGAAAACCTGTTATTACCGGCGGACTTAATCCGCCGGAAACAATGTAAAATCCGACGGAACCGGTAGTTTCCGGCGCATGTTCCGGCGCAAATATCTCCGCCGGTTTTTGGTGCGTCAATAATTTGTTTCCGACGTATAAGTTGCGCCGGAAAAAGTTCTGGCGCAGTTTCCGACGCATTACCGGCGCATTAAACGGTTTGTTTGCCGACGTGAAGAATATGAGAATTCCGGCGCCTAATGCGCCGGTATTTACCGTCGTATAATGCGACGGTAATTAACGGCTGATAAGTCGCCGGAGTTGCGCCATCGAAATTCCACGGTTATTTTACGACGCAATTGTTGCGCCGGTACTTACCGGCGGAATATCCGCCGGACTTGCGACGGTAGTGGCCGACGGATCATATTCGCCGGTACGTATGATACATTTCGTTGTATCGTCTTTTCCGACGGATTACCGGCGCATAATCCGCCGGAAACCTCTCGCATTGACAAAAACAAATTGCCTTCCAAAAGCATGCACCAAGGTATATATCCTATAGCAAATTAATGTCTAGTGATAACATCCATGACTAAAGCAAAAAGATATTTCAAATTTACCTTCAACTCCCTCTCTAGTCTTACCAACAAGAAGAATATCATCAACAAAAAGCATGCACCAAGGTATATCCTCTAGCAAATGTCTAGTGATAACATCCATGACTAAAACAAAAA